AAGCAGGCGGGGCCCAGGCGCCGGATCTCGTCGGTCGCGTCGGGCGTGAGCACGTCCCCGCTCGGCTTGAGCACCACGACGACCGGCAGCCGCTCCACCGAGAACTGGCGTCCGAGGTCCCTGCGGGGCGGGCAGGTCAGTGACCCCGACCGGGAGCCCCACATCCCTCAACGCAGCACTTACTGAACGCCTTCTGTGTGCACGGCCTGGGCTGGGCGCTGGGGAAGCTTCCAGCACCCCAGACTCGCTCCCCCTCAGGGCCTTTGCACTGGTCTGTCTCCTCTATCTGGTGCACCCTCCCCGGTCCTCTGCCAACTGAGACCCAATCTCAAATCGCAACACCTACCTTTCGATCTGCTGCTGTTCAGTGCCTCTCAGAACCCAACACATTTCATAGTTTATTTCTCCATTTTCTCCCACAATAGAATGTAGCTTCACCGGGGCACCGATTTCTGTTTTTGTTCACTAGTGTCCCCATTGCCTGAAACTGGGACACAGAGTAGGTGCTCCGGAAATGTGTGGGATGAATGAATGAATATTGATAAATGCCATAAAGAAATCCGGATAAGGGGCTGGTGGTTAGGGAGGGCCTCTCCAAGGAGGTGACTTTTGAGCTGAGATCTGCAGGAGGAGGAGGGGGAGAACTGGGGGAAGGGTGTCCCAGGCAGAAGGCACAGCCCATGCAAAGACCCTGAGGTGGGAGGGAGTTTGAGGTGCTGACTTGCTCACACAGTCCACAGGGTCATGATGAAGAGTTTAAATTTTCTTTTCAGTATGAGTAGGAAACCGGAGAAAGCTAGTGAGAAACCATCCACAGGCCCAGGAGATCCAGGACCAAACCCCCTATCTAGGCCAGAATCCCTCACAGTCATCTTGGAGTAAAGGGAGCTGCCAGACTAGGTCCATCATCCATGGTTCTTTTTTTTTTCTTTTTTTTCCCCTCAAATTATGGTAGAAAGGTTATTTAGAAAGTTACCGAGGTGGTAGAAGTGAGCCAGTTGGGCTGCGTAGGCTCATGAAACAAGTTACAGAGGCAGAAGGGCCCTTGGAGCTTAGGAGAGAGAAAGGCAAGAAAAGGGGGAAGGGAAAGGTGCACCCACGGTTCTTCATTTCTACCCACTTGGTTCCTGGGTAGCCCTTTTCCAGCCTCCACACAAAGAACGTATGGTACCTGCAAAATTCCACAGGAGTATGTTGCCAGACTTTGCAAATAAAAATACAGGACACCCAGTTAAATTTGAATCTCATATAAACAAATAATTTTTAGTATAAGTATATCACATGTAATATGTGGGACAAACTTATACTAAAAAAGTATTCATAGTTTGTGTGAAATTTGTATTTTACTGGGCATCTTATATCTGGCAGTCCTGTGGGTGGGGGTGGAGAGTGCAAACTGGCTCACTTTCATTTTGTTGAGAGGATCGCCTCAAACAAGGTGAGCATTTGGCTGTGATGCCCTGGCAGCTGGCATTTCTGCCTTGGGGAGGGCAATGTTGCCAATTCTGGGAAAGAACCCCCTCAGCTGCAGAGGGCAGTGAGAGTGAGCCAATGTTAAAATGTTGATAATCTTGGGTGGAGAATGTTCTCTATGACCAGAAACTTCCAACTTGTGCAACAAAATGAATGAAATCAGAAAATGTTATGAAGCCTGCAACTCACTTTCAAATAGTTCAGCACAAATAAAGCAAATATGGCAAAATGTTAACAATGGCCAAGGGTTTCCTTCTATGCTTCTTCCAACTTTTTGGTATTTTTGAAATTTTCTGTAATAAAAAGTTGGGGTTTAAAAAGAATGAAAGGCTTAGTGAAGAAAAGGGAAAAGTTCTAAAATAGCCACAGACTAAAACATCACTTATTGGGCTACTCATTGTAAAGCTTGATTCCAACCACCTCTCCCTCAGCTCCATTGCACTCCGTGGCTCCCAGAGATGCTGAGGATCACATCCACATGCGTGAAGGTGGTATTTGAGCATTGCTCCACCTGGTACCTGCTGACTTCTCACACCTGGAATTACTTCTAGTTCCCTAAATGGACTGTCCTTGGAGCCTTTGTGTTGTGCCCTCTGCCTAGAAACACTCCCCTTTCCTCATACTCCGCCCTCCCAACCTCTCTGTCCTTAGAGGTCTCTCTTTAAAGCCACTTCCTTAAATGAGCACCCCCTGACCCCCAAATCTCAACAAGGTCTTCCCATTTTATCTCTACATGGCATTCTTCCTTTTCCTCCAGAACATTACTGCAGTTTGCTATTATATACTTGAGTCTTTGTTTCATGTCTGTCCCTCCACTAGGTTGTAAGCTCCCTGAGGGCTAGATGGACACAGATATGTGCACCCTGCGCTCTCTGCCCCTCAGTTCTCCATATATGGACTAGCTGCTCAACACCAGATTGAGCTCTATCGATAAACTAATACTATCCATCAAACTAAAAAGCTTCTGCACAGCAAAAGAAACCATCAAAATGAAAAGGGAACCCACTGTATGGGAGAACATATTCGCCAATGATACATCTGATAAGGGATTAATTTCCAAAAAATATAAATAACTCAACAAAAGGAAGACAAAAATCCAATTAAAACAATGGGCAAAGTGCCCAGCTTGTGTGGTTCTGTGGTTGAGCGTCAGCCCGTGAACTAGGAGGTCATGGGTTCAATTCCTGGTCAGGGCATATGCCTGGGTTGTAGGCTTGATCCCCAATAGGGGGCATGCAGGAGGCAGCCAATTGATGATTTTCTCATTGATGTTTCTATCTCTCCCTCTCCCTTCCTTTCTCTGAAATCAATAATAATAATAATAAAACATATTTTAAAAAATGGTCAAAGGGCCTGAATAAACACTTCTTCAAAGAGGCCATGCAGGTGGCCAATAGACATATGAAAAAATGCTCAATTTCACTAATCATCAGAGAGATGCAAATTAAAACTACAATGAGGTATCATCTCACACCTGCCAAAGTGGCACCATCAACAAACAAGTGCTGGCAAGGGTGTGGAGAAAGGGGAGCCCTAGTACACTGCTGGTGCAGCCACTATGGAAAACAGTATGGAGTTTCCTCAAAAAATTAAAAATGGAACTGCCATTTGACCCAGTGATCCCAGTTCTGGAAATATATCCTGAGAATCCAAAACACCAATCAGGAAGAATATATACACCCCTTTGTTCATAGCAGCGTTATTTACAATAGCTAAGATCTGGAAACAGCCCACATGCCCATTAGTAGGTGAGTGGATAAAAAAGCTATGGTACATTTACACAATGCAAAACTATGCAGCTATAAGAAAGAAGGATCTCTTACCCTTTGCGACAGCATGGAAGGACCTGGAGAGTATTATGCTAAATGAAATAAGCCAGGCAGAGAAAGACAAATATCACCTGGTCTCACTTATATGTGAAATCTAATGAACAAAATAAACTGACTAACAGAATAGGCCCAGAAGCATGGAAACATGGAACAGAGCCCGGCCTGGCGTGGCTCAGCGGTTGAGCGTTGACCTAGGATCCAGGCGATAGGGGTTCGATTCCCGGTCAGGGCACATGCCCAGGTCATGGGCTTGATCAATGTACTCTCTCATCATTGATGTTTCTGTCTCTCTCTCTCCCTCTCCTTTCCTCTCTCTGAAATCAATAAAGATATATTAAAAAAACAAAAACCAAAAAACATGGAACAGACACATCTCAGAGGGGAGGGGGTGGGGGGAACTGGAAGAGATTAACCAAAGAATTTATATACATATGCATAGCCTATGGACACAGACAGTAGTGTGGTGAAGGCTTGGGGTGGGGTAGG